GCAGGGAGGAGGCCATCAGGAAGGGGCAGAGCGATGGGCAACCCTGATCCATGGCCCCCTCAGGCCGGGAGTGCTGAAGGAGCCCAAACTGACGGGAGCTATGTCCTTCTTCATCTTCTTCTTCACCCTCCTTGTCCTGGCTCGGCAGGTAAGTCACTCAGCTCAGCCCTCTAGGGCCTCCCTATGAGTGGTGAGGCTGGGGTCCCCATATCTGTGATTTGGTCTCTCTCATCCCCAGGGTTGAGCCCAAGTGGTGTGCCCACTGGGAGCTTCCAAGCGAGGCTTCCTGCTCCCTTTCTTTCTCCTTCACTCCCCATGGGGAGTGCCCTCAAGTTCTCCCACCCCAATCTGGGAAAGCCCGTGCTTAGAAAATGTCCGCCGCCAATTCCGTGCCCCTGGTCTGCGTCTGGTTTCAAGGGTAGTCTCTCTCGGAGGATAGCTGCACCTTAAGCCTATCTCTAAACTGGAGGTGGGGGTGGGGGTTGTTGGGGGCCTGGTGGAGCAGGGGGAGTGAACATTCAGGAGCTGGGGCTTCCCCTGCACTGTGTCCCCCACATGCCTCCCTGGTGACCCTCCCCAGAATGAGTATTATTGCCGCCTGGACTTCCTGTGGAAGAAGAAGCTGAGGCAGGAGCGGGAGGAGACAGAGACAATGGAGAACCTGACTCGGCTGCTCTTGGAGAACGTGCTCCCTGCACACGTGGCCCCCCAGTTCATTGGCCAGAACCGGCGCAACGAGGTGACTCCCGACCCTTGACTCCTGAGCTCCCGATGCCATAGGGACTGATTGATGAAAGTCTCGGCCCGTGGCCCATCCTCCCTGGACTCCCCCATAGTGGGTCGCCCAAGCCCTTGTTCCTGTCAGGTGCCTTCGTTTTCACAAGATCTCAGGCTCTGTCTTTGGTGAGCACAGAATTTCTGCGTTTCCAATTCTTACCTGGAAGGAGTGTCTTCTCTAACTCACCAGCACGCCATACCTCCCAGAAGCTTAGTCAAGTGTTGTGGGGAGTTGTCTGGAAGATACAGTCCACCCATCTCTCTAGACCTGCACTATTTAATATGGTAGCCATTAACAGTATGTGACCATTTAAGTTTAAATTTTAATTAGTTAAAATAAAAATTCAGTTCCTCAGTTGGACTAGCCACATTTCAAGTACTCAATAGCTACAGGTGGCCAGTGGCCACCACATTAGACAGCGTGGATAGAGAACATTGCCATCATGGCAGAAATTTCTATTGGATGCTGCTGCTCTGATCCTCAAAAATCTTGCTCTAGTCAGACCATCAGAAAGTCACCATCTTTTTGTGGCACCGCACCTGGCCTTCTATGGAAGTGTTCTTGGCCTATATTGAGAGATATTAAAAGAAACAGCTCAGGGGCTATTTCACAGCCTATTCCCCACCACCTGCTCTGTTCTTACTTCTGGTTTCTCCCCTTATAGACACAGGGAATCTGTAGCCAATCCTGTTTCTCTCTTTGCATTGGTTGCTAAAAATCTGAGAGCCAGAATAATCTAGGACTAACCAAGATTTCGTGGCACCCATTTTGTGAACTGGTCTGAGTCTAGTTTCAAGGGTAGTCTCTCTCCGAGGATAGCTGCACCTTCAGCCTATCTCTAAATTGGAGGTGGAGGTGGGGGTGGTTTCAGGCATGGTGGAGCGGGGGAAATAAACACTGAGGAGCTGGGGCTGTGAACCAGCCTTAGATCTGATTGATCTGAGTCTATCTTTATTTTCTTACCCATATTTTCTCCTTGCCCTAAATTCCCTATTGTTGCTTTAGTTTATCTTCCATATTGCAGCTATCTTTGTAAGGTGACGTAACATCTTTCAGCAATAAGATAGGATATAAAAATAATTCCCACTGACATGATCCCAGTTCTAGGAGTGACTCCCTTCTCATTGCTGTCAGGTGATCCTGACCCCAAGTCTCTGTCTCTCCCGGAATCACAATGAGATTCAATCTTGACTCCTGAGTTGCATCCCTGGGGTTCTCTGGCCCTATTTCTCTCCCTCCCTCCCCAGCCTTCCTAAACAGGGGGACTGGGAGTGTGGACACAGGAGGAGAAGCTTGTGCAGCCCCAGAGGGGAGGAATGTGACGTGCACCCCTCACCCCAGTCTCCTGCCCTCCCAGGACCTCTACCACCAGTCCTACGAGTGTGTTTGTGTCCTCTTCGCCTCAGTCCCGGACTTTAAGGAGTTTTACTCTGAATCCGACATCAACCATGAGGGGCTAGAGTGTTTGCGGCTGCTCAATGAAATAATTGCCGATTTTGATGAGGTGACAACTCCAAGGGTCTCCCAGACCCTATATCCTGGATTCTGGAATTTCTCACCAGTTCCTCCATCCACTTTGCTTTCCTGGCCATGAGGCCAATACTCCCCTCCCTAGCACCGCGTCTCCTCCTCATCCCCCAGCTCTCCCCTCTCCAGCAACATTGCCCACTGCCAACTCCCTCCATCCTGCCCCCTTCCCCACTCCCACAGCCTGGTCCTGTAGCCTCCAAAGGCCTGGGGCTGGGCTGCTAGGAGAGGGGAGGGAGAGCGCAAGAGAAACTAGGACAGGCCCCCTCTCTATGCAGCTGCTCTCCAAGCCCAAGTTCAGCGGAGTGGAGAAGATCAAAACCATCTGCAGCACCTACATGGCAGCCACAGGCTTAAATGCCACCTCAGGACAGGATGCACAACAGGTACAGCAACCCTTCCTTACCTACCAACCCTTCTCTGGGCTCTCACTGATGGGCCCCCAAGTGGGACTTATTCCTATGCCCTCATTGGCCCATCCTGGGGGGGCAGGCCCATTGCCAGGATGCTGAGCGAAGCTGCAGTCACCTTGGCACGATGGTGGAATTTGCGGTGGCCCTGGGGTCTAAGCTGGACATCATCAACAAGCACTCATTCAACAACTTCCGCCTGCGTGTGGGTGAGGACCCTGCCCTGCCCAAGTGATCTGGCATCTCCTCACTTTCCCAAGCTCTCCCCACTCCAAGTCCTTTGTTAGCTGCTCCCAGCTCACCCCTGGACTCCCTTTCCTGACTCATTCCCTGGGATGGGGGAAGCCGCTGAGCCAGGAGCTGTGAGGTCCCCCTTCCCTAAGCCACACTCCTCCAGCCTTAGAGACCTCTCCTGTCCTCTAAGGCCCCCAGGCCCTTCTCTCTTCTCCCCAATTCCTTGAGCCTCCTCTTTTCCTCTTCCTCCTCAAAGTTCCCCTCATCAGGGTCCCTCATTACCAAATCCCTTATCAGGGTTGAACCACGGACCAGTAGTGGCCGGAGTGATTGGGGCCCAGAAGCCACAATATGATATTTGGGGCAACACAGTGAACGTGGCCAGCCGCATGGAGAGTACAGGAGTCCTTGGCAAGATCCAAGTGAGGGAGCCACATTGGAGGCATGGGGGGAGGGGGGAGAAGAATAGGGCCACCCCCATACTCCCTCACACCCCTCCAATTGTAGGTGACTGAGGAGACAGCAAGGGCCCTGCAGTCCCTGGGCTACACCTGCTACAGGCGGGGTGTCATCAAGGTCAAAGGCAAAGGGCAGCTCTGCACCTACTTCCTGAACACAGACTTGACACGAACTGGACCTCCCTCAGCCACCCTAGGCTGAGACCCCCAACCCCTCCAAGATCCTCAATAAAGAGACTCTGGGATGTCTGGAGCCAACTGTTGTCAGAAGTTACTGATACAGCTGTGGATCGCCTTCTCCTTGCCCCTCAGCAGGATGGCTTCTTCCCAGGCCAGACTGAGAGAAAGTGTGTGTGTGTGTGTGTGTGTGTGTGTGCACGCAAGCGCGCACGCTAGAAGGGAGTGATTCTTCTCACATGCTCAAAAAGAGGGCTGTCTCAGCTTTCCTGCCTTCCTGCCAACCTGATTCCAGTATTTTGTACACCTTGGAAGCATAAAGAATTTAGCCACATGACTCAAACAAGGATTTGTCCTTTCTTGTCCGCCACCCACAAATATTGGAAGGGAATATCCAGGGAAATGTCATTTGACCTTTATTCATTCAACAAACACTAAACAAGCACATATTATGTGCTTACTGTGCAGAATGGGCAAGAAGCCTGAAAATAATCTGTCAGGTCTCTCCCAGTTGCAGCTGCTGTTCTCAGATTGGCCCACCCTGCTTTCCAGCGAGGACCTGTAGATAGTTTGGGGTTCTCCTGTTCTCAAGCCCATCAGAGGCACCCCCGCTTCCTTTTGCATCCTTCCACACAGATGCTGATATAGTAAGTGGGTCTTATAGCATCGATGTTTCACTCTCATGGGCTCATATTTTTGGGTCCATGGGAAGTATCTTGACATCCTAGGTTTTGTTGCAGATGTTGCACATGGATTTTTGGTTTTGCTCTCCTAGTTGCTCTTTCATTTTTTTATGGGAAAGATACAAAAAGTACACTGCTGCCACTGCTACTGCCATCTTCCTAAAATTTGTCAGACCAGAGCAGGGCCAAGGTTCTCTAAGGTAACAGTTACTCCTAGGAAATAATAATGCATCCCTCTCCTATGGGAATCTTTGTTTCCCAGGGCTGCCCATGGCCACATGTTGTAGGGACTGGCAGATGCTGATGTGCAGGATTCTAGGGCATAAGATCTGGAGACTTGGTCCCCAAGTGAAAGAGGAAGATTGCTGGCAGGAAGTTGAAGTCATGGTAACAAGGATACTTATCACAGGCTTCAGGGAAGACTGTTCACAGCGGTGTTTTCTCAGAAGGCCCCTGAGTCACAGGTTCTGGAATGACAAGCCTACATGCATGGTCTTCCTAGACAAGCTCCTTTAGGAGTCCATAAACTGTGTTTTTCTAAATATGATCTGCAGACCACCTACTTCAGAATCAAGGGAGGGAGTTTCTATGTCTGTCTTTGCGTCCCTTCCAAAATTGTAAATCATGGGGAACTAAAGGATGTGACTCACAGCTACTGAGAGGAACCCCATCAGGACGCCTGCAAGCACCCCAATGGCCGGTAACACATGCCCCACTTGCAGGGCTGACCCGATTTCAGACTTCAGTTTTAATGGTAAAGCTGCCGACAGGAGCCAGGCTGGAGCATGCGCTCACTCTGTCCTCGCTCGCCCCATCCCTCCCTCTTCCTCTGCTCCACCCCTAGCCCCTGCTCCTCCTCCGGGTACAGACATGGGTCAGCCCAGAGTGAGGTACTCCGTTGGGAGGAAAACGAGCATCCTTCCGCCAGGCCTAGTTCAGTTCGCTTCCCTCGGCAGCGTCGGGCTCCGGAGAGGCGGGGGCGCCCCTCGCGATCTGGCCCAGGGTGCCCCCACGGCGGGCGCTGGACCCCTCGGAGCCCGTGCCCTCCAGCAGCTTGGCGAGGAAGCCCACGCCGGCCGAGCGCAGCAGGCCGCCGCCGGCGCACGCGTACAGCACGGGGTTCACGCTGCTGCTCAGGAAGGCGAGCGCGATGAGCACTCTGCGGGCCAGGCTCAGCCGCTGCCCCACGGGCCCTGACCCCGCGGGCTGGCCGGCCAGCGCGCGGCCCGCCTGGGCCAAGTTCACCGCATGGTAGGGCAGCCAGAAGGCCGCGAAGGCCAGGATGATGAGTGCCACCAGGCGGCCGGTGCGGCGGCTGCGGCGGAAGCGCCGGGCCTGCAGCCGCCGCCCGATGTCGGAGTAGCTAGCCACCACGGCCATGAAGGGCAGCAGGAAGCCCGTGATGGCCTCGAAGAGCAGATGGAAGGCCCTGTGGCCTTCGTTGGTGTACCTCGAAGAGCAGTGCAGGCTCCTGTTGTTCGGTACCAAGATCACCGTGCGGTACACGAGGACGGGCGTGGCCAGCAGAAAGGACACCACCCAGATCCCTGCCAGCACCCGCCTGGCAATCGTCTTGGTGCGCAGCTTCTGGGATAGGAAGGGACGGGCCACCGCCAGCGAGCGGTCCAGACTCATGGCGGTGATCAGCAGCACGCTGGCGTACATGCTGACTCCGCAGATATAGTGGCACAGGCGGCAGCCAGCCAGTCCAAACCTCCAGGTGCCTCGGGCCAGGAAGTGGAGGAAAAAGGGAGCAGTGAGCAATACAGCCAAGTCGGCCAGGGCCAGGTTCAGCACCAGCAGGGCAGTGACCGAGCGCTTCCGCATCCTTTTCAGGATGCTCCACACCACAAAGCTGTTGCCAGGGATCCCCACAGCCAGCGCCACCGACAGTAGGATGATAGCCAGCACAGAGATGAACATGACACTTAGTGAGGAGGACGCTACAGGAGAGGTATTGTTTGTTGCCATTGGAAGGACCTGGAGAGCAAGGGCGGACACGAGTATGAGGGTAGGGGACCAAGGGTTTCCTGACACCCTGCACACGCCTAATCTGAGTACTCTGGTCTGTCTCCAAGGTCAGCGGCATCAGAGGCACCTCGGAAATATACTGCCCCCATCCCTGCCTGATCCCCTGTCTTAAGGGGATCTAGTTGAGTAGAAACACTAGTTTCCTAACTGGGCCATGGGGCCCCTTCCTGGCCACAGACCCAATTGCAAAATGCACAGTGGCAGCAGCAGCAGCATTTCCGGACCTTTTCAGCCTCTTTTCCCTTAGGAGACCTGAAGCCCATAACCAGTCTGGGAGGCTTTCCTCGCCAATTCTGCACCCTTGAAAGGCTAGCTCCTCTGTCCCCTCCCAGGCCCTTAGCCCCTCAGTCCCACTGACTTCCTCCAATCACCTACGCACTCTCCCCAGAGATGCCCAGGGTTCACCAGGAGTCACAGTGATAGGGAGGAGTTCAAGGACAGGCGACAAGGACAAATCCTCCCAACTCTTCTTACACTGGCCAAGCTTTCTTTGGAGATTCCTTTGCACTTTCTCTCATGGCTGCACCTGTCCCACCCCCACCCCTACTCCCAGGATACTTACTTACAAGCTTTGCCAGGGACTGGTTGGAAGCTGGTGCCAATCCCAGGGTCGGGGCAAAGTGGTGTGGCCTATCCCTGGATCTGTCCCAATACCAGGGTCCTGGCCCTGGGTCTGGGTGCTGTCAGCCAAGGCAGCCAGAGAGGAAGTGCTACAGAGCAGGGGAGGCAGAAGATGCATCTTCCTGAGGGTGGGGCTGAAACCCCCACCCCTCCCTTCACTAGGAGGGGGGAAAGTCTTTGTGTTCCAGGGCAGTTCATTGGGGAGGAGGACTCTTGAGGAGTGAGGCAAGATGAGAAGAGAAGGGGCAGTGAGAGGGGAAAAAGGGGTGGGGGAAGTGAGTAGGCTGGGGTGTGGCCTCAAGATGCAGGTCTAGACTGGAGAATTGAACAAAGTAATGAATCGTATCCTGTAAGAGAAGGAGGGCAGGAAACCAGAAAGGAGAAATGGGTTCAGATTGAGAGGCTAGAATACTGGTATCTTTATATCTTGTGTGAATAATGTAGATTTTTTTTAGGTTAATAGGAAGTGTAGGTTAGAGCTGTAGGTTCTGGGTCTGGGTCTGGGTTTGGTAACATCATGGTTTAAAGACGGCATGTTGGTGAATGCCGAAGAGGGCAGCACCCTGCCCTTGGCTTCAGTTCAAGCCATGACGTAGGTTGCGGGAAGAGGGCCATCTTCCAGCACCCTCCATCCCACTCCTTACTTCAAGGGATTGGTTCCATTCAGGTCAAAAAATTATCCAGTCTCTTTGGTAGAAGTCAAAATCCAGATGGTCTCCTTGGTATCACACAGAGTACCAATTTCTTCCCTTTCCCCCAGCCACTTGCCTTGCACTTGTCCATATGGTTACCTTGCCAGGTCTGGATTTAAGATCTGGGTGCTGGGCAAGGAGATTGGAACCACTTCTCTCCTACCTTCCCACGCCTACTGTCCAGTTCTCCTTTGGACACACAGAGAAGGTCAAGGCTGAGATAGGCTGGGCTGAGCATGATAGGAGTGGGAGTGAGGGGTCAGGAGCTGTGATGCCTCATGCCTGCCCTGCCAAGAGGGAAAGCCAGGAATGTGGAAAGGTAAAAAGCCCCAAAAGGGTCACCCTTCCCTTCCCAGTATGGAGAGACATCTCTTTTCCTTGAAGTCTCCTGCAGAAGCTAAGAACTAAAGATTCCTTCTTTCAATCTGATGATGAGCCTTCCTGCTTCCCTTTCAACTCTGTCACTTCTCGGGAAAGATGCAGGGTGTAATGGTGTAATGGCATTTGCTGAGGTCCCTCACCCTTTCCAGAGCCCCCTTTTTTGAGAAAAGCCAGAGCAACATTAACCCAGCAGCTGTCAAGCAGAGGATATGATGAAAAGAAATGGGCTGAAACCGCAGCAAGAACTGAAGGCAGAGTTGAGGAAGGGCTTTCTGATCACATTGGGTGTGTGAGATGAGGAATATGTAACAGAGGAAGTTAGGGAACTTCTGCCCCAGCACACAAGGTCAGAAAGAAGTCCCCAAAGTCTGTGTTTAAAGATAGAAGCTTCCAGCTCAGAGCTCCAGGGGTCAACCAAAGGCCACTTCAGATAAAGACTGGGTTGTCTGCCGGGTGCGGTGGCTCACGCCTGTAATCCTAACACTCTGGGAGGCTGAGGCATGAGGATCACTTGAGATCAGGAGTTCGAGACCAGCCTGAGCCAGAGCGAGACCCCATCTCTACTAAACATAGAAAAATCAGCCGGGTGTGGTGGCGCACACCTGTAGTCCCAGCTACTAGGGAGGCTTAGACAGGAGGATTGCTTTAGCCCAGGAGTTTGAGGTGGCTGTGAGCTAGGCTGACGCCATGGCACTGTAGCCTGGGTGACAGAGCGAGACTCTGTTTCAAAAAAAAAAAAAAAATACTGGGTTGTCTTTGCCTCCTATCTCAAGCTGCTCCCCACCCCCATCTCCCTTGATGACCTTTCTTCCCCCCACCCAGGACTAGGTACTCTAAGCATATACCCTGCTGTCCTAGCTCAGAGCTATACTCCAATCCCAGTTGTGGTGGCCTTGGCATGACCCTGGGGACCGGATTTCCTTTGCTCTCTCTTGGCCTCTTCTAGGAGGAGTGTGAACAGTCACTAAAGCAGAGTCCGGGGTGATGCGGTCAGGGTAACCAGTGACCAACCATCTCAGTTTGCCGGGGGACTATATGGGGCGGGGACAATGGATTTTCAGTGCAAAAACTGGGAAAATCCTGGGCTAAGTGGAATGAGTTGGTCACCTTAGTGATCACATGTGTGTGCACATGGATCTCTCCTGAAAAGAATTCCATTCTGCCTCCCCTTAATAAAACATGTCAGGATCTGGAACAGTTTTTAGACTTAGAGGTAGATCCAAAAGGTGGGGGCTGAGAAGTATTGGGGAAGGGATTAAGAACAGCTAGCAGAGTCTTGGGAGGAGTCAATACTTGGCAAAGAGAAAAAAGAGAGAATGGAGAGGTGGCACCTTCTGAAAAATTCTTCCTGTCCCCCACATATTCCTGCCATTCCCCATACCGCCTCATCCTCAACCCCCAAACTTCCCCTGGTTTAGTGAGTACCTGCTCCTGGGTTCCTTTTCAAGTCAGGTAGCCTTTGGAGGAAGGGTCAGATGGTCAGAGAGGAAGGTAAGTCTCAGACTTCCAGAGCCCCTACACCATTGTCCACTCCTTGTGTGCCTCTCTCCCACTGTACCAACCACAAAACAGACAGGAAAACTTTCCTTTCAAACCCCACAGATTTACTTTCTCCTTCCAGAGACAGTTTCTTCGCCCAGGAGGCTATTGTAGACCTAAGAATGGATCCCATTCCTACTCCTCATCCAAGCTCCCATACCTTTCCTTCCTTTTTCTCTCTTCATTTCTAGAGTGGTTGTATGGGTTGGCCTGGAAGAATCAGGGCACCTGGCCTGGGGAGGTCAGGGCAAGATGCCACTGAAGGCTGGCACCACCCAGCCCTGGTCTGACCCAGCAGAGAACTAGATGGCTTCAGTACAACTCAGGCATGATGAACCACCAGAGGGAGCACACTTAACCATCATCTAATGGCTTCCTAGTGTATTTCACAATAATAGCTATTGGCAACAAGTAAGCAGCCCTGGCACATGGGTACATGCCAACCTGCAAGCACACAATAGTCAGTTAACATGGACCATCACCGCCCTCATAATCCCTCAGCCTGGAGCAACCTGGCCTGCCAGCCAGACCCAAACTGTAGTCAGAGGAGGGTCCCGGAATGCTCAGGGGCAATGAAAAAGCGTAGAGAGGAACAGGCCTGGTTGTAGGGTTTACTGTCAAGGGTCCCATTCCTGACTGTCCCTCTCCATCCCTCCACCAGGGTCCCCATTTCCCCTGCCCAGGCCCACCACTTTTAGCTGGGGAGTAGTGCGGAGTTCCATGGTCCCCTCCCTAGAACGGCCTCCCCCTCGGGCCTCTCCAGAGCCCTCGAAGAGCCGTGTGAGGAAACGGGGACCTGCTCGGGGCAGTAGATCCCCGGCGGTGAAGACATAGAGCACCGGATTGACGCTGGAGCTAAAGAAGGCCAAGGCCGTAGTTCCCGCCCGCGCCGCCTGGCCCGCCCCGCCAAGCCTCGCCAAGGCCCCTTCCGGCGGAGCAAGCGCGGCGGCCGCCTGCAGAAGGTTGACCGCGTGGTAGGGGGCCCAAAGCAAGCCGAAGGCGAGCACAATGGCGCTCACCAGCCGGCCCACCCGCGTCCCTTGCCGCCCGGAGCCCCAGCGGGCGCCCCGCAGCCGCGCCAGCGTCACGCTGTAGCAGCCGAGCATCAGCCCAAAAGGAAGCACGAAGGCGGTCAGAGTCTCCAGGCTCAGGTGGGCGGCGGCGTGGGCCGGCGACGGGTGGCACAGCTGGCACACGCGGTCCCTCCACAGGTGGCGGTAGACGGCGGCCGGGACAGCGAGCAACAGGGCGGCCAGCCAGACGGCGAGCAGCAGGCGGCGCGCCAGGGCCGGGCTGCGCAGCCGGGGCGCCAGGAAGGGGCGGGTGACGGCGAGGCAGCGCTGCAGGCTGAGCAGGCCGGTGAGCAGCACGCTGGCGTACATGCTGAGCGCGCACACGTAGTACACCGCCTTGCAGCCCGCCTGGCCCAGCGGCCAGGCCTGCGCCGTCAGGAAGGCCACGAAGACCGGCGTGAGCAGCAGCACCGCGCCGTCGGCCAGCGCCAAGTGCAGCACGAGCGTGGCCGCCAGTGGCCGCCCCCGTGCAGGCCGCCAGCCCGCCAAGCTCCACACTACGAAGCCGTTGCCAGGGAGCCCCAGCAGCGCCGCCAGCAGCAGGAAGGCCGTGCCTGTGGCCCGCGAGGCCTTCCAGCTCAGCAGCGTCTCGTTCCCCGGGGGACGGTAGCAGACCGACATCCTTCTTGGCCTACAGTGGGGTGGAGGGGCCACAGAAGGCGTTCAGGGCTGGGCAGAAGCCCACGTTACCTCTGACGCCAGGTGGGAAGGAACTGTGCCTCCCCCTACCCCCTTCCTGCAGCCTGCCTCTCTTCTGTCTGGGAGCCTTGACTTCCTAAACTCAAACAGTACTCCTTGGAACTCAGATCCCCTGCTCCCAGTCAGCTGACCTCCCCCACTCTAGGCTCCTTCCCAGAACCCCAGGACCACACTCCAGGCTGTCACTATCTCCACCTCCACCCTTCTAGCCTGGCTCCTCCTTCTTTGTCCAGCCCCATTCCTTATACCTCAGGGCAAAAGTGGGTGGTGGGGAGTAAAGTGGCATGAGCAGATCTACTTACACAGCTGGGAGCACGCTGGGTTAGGGTTCTCCAAGGCGCCTAGGAAAGCTGAAAGGCGAAGCAACAGTGGGTGAGGTGTCTACTCCTGTCCTGCGCCTGTCACATTTACAGAAGGTGAGGCGTGAATGGGGAGGGACAAGATGGGCTCATCCTGGGCCTTCCTGGGGCCCCTCCCTCACCCTCCTCCTTCCCATCACTAACACGTCCAGGCGTGTGAGAGCCTGCCTCCCCAGGAAACAGGAGGGGAGTAGGAGCACTCTGCTGAATCCTGACCCTGGTCCTCCTTCTGTTCTCATCCCTCCCCAGCTCTGGCCCCAATCTTCCCAGCCCACCTTGTGCAGCACTGATGTTCCCTGGCCTTGTTGGCCTGGACGCAGCAGAGGAGGTGATCTGAACTCATTCCCCCAGCTGCTCTATCTCTGCCTGTTTCCAGCCTCCTTGTCCTGCTGAGCCATCCTGCTTCCTCAGCTCCTGGCCTGCCTCCTCCCATCTCTTGCTTTGGGCCCTGTCCCAGTCACTCCACCCCCAGGGCTCTCACTGGGCTCTCAAATGTCAGCTTTTCCATGTGAGGCATGGTGCTAAGGTTCGGGGGCTGGGGAGGTAGGGGATGCACAGAGGTATAAGGGGCTTATAACCTGGTTGGGGAGTTATAATACACAACCTTGAAGAGGCCACACTACCAGGCTGCACTAAGATACAAGAAAGGGTACAATGGTAAAGACATACTGAGAAGCAGCCCTCTCTTCTTAGAGAGATCAGGCAAAGCTTGGAGATGAAGAGAATTGAGGGGGGCCAGGAAATCGAGAGTTGGAGAAAGGAAAAGAACTCTGCCCAGTCAATAGCCGGAACTGGGGTTCCTTGGGAACCAGGACACCAGGAGTATTATCTTAGTTTGGGCTCCTCCACAGCAGAGCCTGAGTTAAGGACATGGGCACAGGTTATGCTGTATTTGGAAGGTGAGCTCAGGAAGCCAGAGTGAGGGAGCAGGGTAAGATAGGGAACAGGAAAGCCAACAAGAGCATGTTATTGAGTCCCTTCAGCAGGCATTGGGAACCTCTGCCCAAGACAGAAGACTGGGGCTTGCCAGATTATTTGAGGATTATCCCGGGGCATTAATGATTAATGCCCCTAAACTTGTAGCCTGTACTTGTCAGGGAGTTGAGTGAGCTGCCAGAGTCTCTGAGGATGCTTATTCTGTCCCAGCTGGAGTTGCCCCAAAAGTGGTGGCAGGGGAATTCCCACAAGGAGTGTCCCAAACTGTCCAGAGATGGGGCTGGTTGGGATTCCAAAGAAAGAAGCTCACATACAATGTGATCAGTCCAAAGCATTTATTAGGGGAACTTACAGAGTGGGCTGCAGCAAATCCTCATGACAGTGAGCGATGTTCTACCTAGGTATGTCCACAAAAAGGGAGTCAAGGTAAGGAGTTTATATATGAGGGTTTAAGGAATTTGGCTTCACGTTAGGGCCAGTTTCTTTCTGTGTTTTGGGCAACAACCTAAACCCTGAACACCTTTATCAGTGCCAAGGAATGGTTAAGGCCTTGGCTTGAGCTCAAGCCTGCAGGAGAAATGCAGCTGGCCGGGTCACAGAGCAATCAAGGCACTCTGTTTCTCAGTCAGGACACACAGAGAGAGTGAGGAAACTGGGGGACCCTGAAAGGGTCCTGGGCAGGAAGGCAGAAATTGTGTTCATTTGAGGGGTTCAATGTCTGAGCTTCCATGCAACTGTCCACCACAGCTGCAACTGAAATCAGAGATGGGACACAGGGTACCCAAAGCTAAAGTCCTGATGCCACCAAAGGACATCTCCTGCCCCACTCACATCTTCTTCATGCCCATTGGCAAAGGAAGAAGGTGACAGAGGTCACGACTTCAGTGTGGCTGAAGCAGATAGTTCCGGAGAACGAAGCCAGAGCAATGTTGTGCCAGCCCCTCCCCTGGACCAAGGAGGTAGGATCAGGTAAGCAGGAAGGCCAGGGTCCCAGACAGAACCCTGGTAATCCTAGATCAGGATCCATTCTCTCCTCACACCTCTCCAGGGTGTGACACACTGACTTACCTCTCATTTTCCCCAAGCCCCGCCCATGCTCCCATCCATTTCCCCAACCTCAGCCTTGCCTCCCTTTCCCTAAAGCTGCAGTGTATGGCTCTTCCAGTAGGTGGCAGCACATACAGTGCAGCACACATAAAATGCCCCTTCTCAGAGGCTGGGAGCCAGAAACTGTCCCTAGAAATTCCTTCCACAGAAATAAAAACACGAGACATCACATTCCATCCTTTTACATTTATCCATCCATTTACCCTCACAACACATGCCCTCACCAGAGACACACGCACAAGCTCCTGTAGCATTTGCTGGGCAGTTCTTCCTCCATGACCCCATCTAGCCCCTCCTCCCTCCCTCCCCTTGGACTTTGCCTTCTTACTGGCCAGGCAGGGGGGCCAGAGTCCAGGCTTGACTCATTCTCTACCTCATCCAGGGCTGAGATCCCAGCTTTGTAACAGAAAACACCACTTCAGCCCCAGGACAACAGAGAGCCACCCAGCCCAGAAGCCACTGGAGAGGCAACTCTCCTCCTCTCCACCATGGAGTACCTCTCAGCCCTCAACCCAGGCGACCTCGTCAGGTGACTTCTAACCCTTCTCTCTGCCTTCCAACTCTAGGGATATGGGCAGGGCAGCAAAATTGCATTCAGCCCTAGGAGACTCACTCGCTTGTGCCCCATCCTGTCCTGCCCCCACTCCACAGGGGGTTGGTCCAGCTGCTGAAGTACACCCCCACTCCATGGTCTCTCCCTCTCTCCCTCCTCTAATCTGCTACCCTAACCTGCAAACCTAGATCCCTCCCTCCCTAGCCCTCCAGCCACCCCACCCCCATTATCCCCACAGTATTCACCAAGCCCCTCTGCGCCCCTTCTTGACCTTTCTTCCCAACTACCAGGTCCGTGTCTAATATAAGCTCCAAGTTTGGACGTAGGGTCTGGACCTCAGCTCCACCACCCCAGCGACCTTTCCGTGTCTGTGATCACAAGCGGACCATCCGGAAAGGTCTGACAGCTGCCACCCGCCAGGAGCTGCTAGACAAGGTGGGCCAAGTGCCTGGGTTCTTACAGCAGGAGCAGCCAAGGGGCTGAGAATAGTGACAGCTTGGGATGAAGGAGCAGAAAGCTCTGAGGCCTCACAGTTGCCCCTGCCCCTGAGGGCTAAAAGCAGGGCGGGTAAGCCCAATGACCTCTGCTGAATTTGGGTCAACTGGTTTATTTTCCACATAGTGAGCGTTTCTTTGGGAAAAGGGGAAGCAGTAGGTGGTAGCAAGGGTTGGAGGGATAAAATTCAGAAGTCAATATGGAAGGGCGATTTGTATGACAAATCAAGTTCAAATCCTGTTTCTGCCACTTCCTAGCTGTTATACCTTGAGAAGTTATTCAACCTATCAAAACTTCAGTTTCTTCATCTACAAAAAAATAATAATAATACGTCACCTCCTAGGGTTGTTGAAAGGAGTAAAAAGGGATAATGTAATAAGTGTTCATGCACATAGCGACTCAAAAAGGCTAAACACTATTACTCCAAACAGTTCTGCAGAACTCTGAGGATGGGGAAAGAGGTGGGATGTTGTAAGTAAGATAGAAGGATGGACTGGAAGAGAATCTGGCTAGCTTTTGGATTCCAAACCAGTAGGAGTGGCAAGTGGCTTGGAGGAGAGCAGGGGGAGATGACAATGACATGGTAGGAGCAAAGAGGAAAAAAGTCAGTCCCTAGTGAGGGTCCCCCAACAACTAAAGAACAATGAGAGCTGCAGCCTTTAGAAGGGATGGCAAAGTGCCAGGAAGTAGACTGGGGGTGTCAACCAGTGTCTAGGGCCAACCAATGGATGCTGGGCAGCTAAACAGGAGAAGGGCATGGGATAAGATCTGCCCCTTCCTTCCTGCTTCTGGCCACTGTGCAGGCACTGGAGACCCTGCTGCTGAGTGGAGTGCTAACCCTGGTGCTGGAGGAGGATGGGACTGCAGTGGAGAGTGAGGACTTCTTCCAGCTGTTGGAGGATGACACATGCCTGATGGTGCTGGAGTACGGGCAGAGCTGGAGCCCCACCAGGGTGAGGCCCAGGCTAGGGCTGCTTAGACCACCAATTCTTTATAGCTCTCCCAAGCTTCTTCTCTAACCTAACCCTGATCTTGGGGGCCGAGGTGCTGGGAGAGCTGTGGAGTTGTCAAGGACATCACATAGTGCACAGACAGTCCAGGGAAGGGTGGGTCTGATCCAGTGCTGATGGGGATTAGTGGTGGGTGGCAGGGCGTGAGGGTTCATTGCACTGATGGGGGTGCCCTACAGAGTGGAATGCTGTCCTATGGCCTGGGTCGGGAGAAGCCCAAGCACAGCAAGGACATCGCCCGCATCACCTTTGATGTGTACAAGCAAAACCCTCGAGACCTCTTTGGCAGCCTGAACGTCAAAGCCACATTCTACGGACTATACTCCATGAGTTGTGATTTTCAAGGGCTCGGCCCAAAGAAAGTACTCAGGTCAGAAATCAAAATGTCATACTTCCCCATTCCCAACAGCTGGACAGTCCCCATAATTCCTGCTCTGATACCCACCTACCCTCGGTTAGCTCTTGCTTATGGAAAACCTTCAGCCCTCAGCCCGATGGCCTCCTCCCAGGTTTCCCTAATCATCTGATATCCTCTTGTCTCTGCCCTTCAGGGAGCTCCTTCGTTGGATTTCCATGCTGCTACAAGGCGTGGGCCATATGCTGCTGGGAGTTTCCTCCACCCTTCGCCATGTAGTGGAGGGAGCTGAGCAGTGGCACCAGCAGGGTCGCCTCCATTCCTACTGAGAAAGGGCTCTGAGCTTCTGCCCCCAGACTCATTCCAAGAGACACACTCTGAGGACTTTGACAGCATCAGGTTTCAGGCCCTGCAGACAGTGCAGGCTATATAACTTACCCTATTTCCCCACTGTCCTCTGACCCCATTGTGACAGAATTCGTCACCATAATGCCTTATACCCCAAACCTATACCCTTACCTGAAGAATGCTGTCCCTTCCTACCCACATTTCCAGCCTCCCACTTAACCTGGGGAAAGGCCACAAGCCTGTCCCCATGCATCTTAATCTCAGCCTGACTGCTGCTACATCTAGATCCCTTACGAATTCCTCCTGTCCCTAAGCCCCAGCACACTGATGAACAGATCTTCTCTAACCTTACCATTATATCTCTGTCTCCATATCCTTCCCCCTCAAAATAAAAACATTTCAATAAAAATATAAAAATGTTTACCAATAAGACTTTTGAATCCAATTTAAACCGGGAAAGAAATGGGATGCTCCTCTTTTCACCCTCTCCCATCAACTACCAATTCCAGATCCAAAGGCCTCAGCCTTCAAGTATGGAGTTCAATGCCCGCCTCCGCTTAGCCACCACACCCTGCTGCTGTTCCCAAGCCTCTCGTCGCTTCAGGAAAGTAGTCAGTGCCACATTTCGAGCCACATGGTGGCCAAAAGGGTCTCTTATCAGCTCCTGGTTCTGCTCCCCTGCAAAGGAAACCACTCACGTTTAGTACCACCCATGCTTGAAGACAGACTCTACTTGGAGTGAAGGTCCCTCCATCTTCCTCAGACCCTGGACCTGACACTCAGATAGACTGAACACTCCCCAAAGAAGAGAAGCCAAGAGGAGGGGTGGAAGCAGAGTACTGCATAATCAGTCAGTAGAGGGGAAAGGGAAAGCAGATTGCTAAGAATCCGTAAGCAAGAATACTTTTTGGAACTGAAGTCTCTGCTAAATTTAAGTCCACTCCCCAGCCACTCAGCTACCTGGAGTAAGAAAAAAGAAACTCTGGAAACATCAAAGAGAGGTACTGGTACTCACCCAGCTCAGTAGCAATTTCCTTCCGGGCCCCCAAGGCTGCTGCATTCCAGATGGCATCTAGCACTCGGCTGCCATGGCGACTACAGGCCAGAGCCACATACTGTCCCTGCATTGAAACAAGCAAGGTAGGTCCCTCTAGGAGTCCATGAAAGTGTGTTTGGGGGGAAGGGGGAAGGGGGAGTGAAGTTTCTGAAGAATTCAGAGGCTAAGTCAAAATAATCTAGGAACTACGTATCTTCTCTTTTAAGGTATAGTCCTGGGGGAAGCTCATATGCTCCAAATGGATGATGGCGGGAAATCAAGGCAGAAGCCAGAAGTCTAACCTTTAGGGTCTGCAGCACACGGCGGCGCTGTTTTCGTGTCACAGAGGGACTGGTCAAGATGGCATCCAGCACATGGGAGCCAGCAGGGCTTTGGGCCAGAGCCAGAAGTTGTGGTCCTGTCAAGGCACCCAGGCTTCGAAGTACAAGACCAGGAGTGGAGAAGTGCAGCAGATGCTGGAGCAGTAGAGACCCGAGGACTGTCACTTCCTCCAGGGCCCTAGCTGTGGCCACTTCCACCTAGAAGCACAGAGATAGGAAATTAGGAGGCAGCCGCCATGCCAGGTGGATCAGCCCATCCCCAGGATAAAGCTACCTCCACGTAGATGAAGTCAGAGATCTCACCACCCTCACCTCAGGAGAGGCTTCCTAAGCCCTGCAAGGCCTGGCCCCCTATTAGTCACTGGCTTGGCCTCTCCCCTACCTCACCTGGTGCTCCGCAGGCACTGCCCCCTCCTCCTCCATCAGTCCATAGTACACCTCATAAGCCATCAAAGTGGCAAAGAGAGGTACACAGGCCACTTGCCGGGATGAAGGCTCTGCACAGTGGAATGCCTAGAGGGGAAGACAAAACATGATGATCCTGAGAACTTCCCTACCCCTAACCTCAACTTTCTAGACAGGGAAAACATTCAGAAAAGGTGAGAAGGCCTAACTCCACAGGAATGTAAGCTCTATGAGGGCAGTATCTCATCTGCCTTATTGTATACCTAGCCTCTATACACATAACAGGGGTTGAATAAACATATATCCCTTAAACAAACTTCTCTCTTAGTTCTGGGAGATAATTTTCATTCCAGGGCTGTGAAATGGGTTTGGCCTCATTTTTCCCTGTATCTGTAAACTCCCTAGGCACTAGATCTCTTGGGTCCAGAGGTACAATGACTTAAGATTAGATAAGTCCTAACAGATAGAATTTGGACCAACAACATACATGGATCACAGGTAACATCCACTCACCTCCAACAGCAGCTGCAGGACCTGGGCTTGGTGGGCCCCAACTCTGCGGCAGGCCCCCACCAGGGCAACAACTACCCCTGGGTGGCCCTGCGCCAAGACAGCTTCCAGGGCGGGGCTCAACTCCTCAAACACAGGGGACAGCTGAGGGGAAACATGGGATAAAGAATCTTTGGCATTCTGGTACTGGTGGGCTAAGTTATTCAGAGAAATCTTCCCACTGAAAACAACTAAAAATGCTAAATAAAACATAAAAAGCGCAGTGGCTCACGCCTGTAATCCTAGCACTCTGGGAGGCCAAGGTGAGAGGATCACTTGAGGTCAGGAGTTCGAGACCAGCCTCGGCAAAAGCGAGACCCCATCTCTACTAAAAATAGAAAAACTTAGCCAGGCATGGTGGTGAGAGCCTGTAGTCCCAGCTACTCAGGAGGCTGAGGCAGGAAGATCACTTGAGCCCAGGAATTAGAGGTTGCAATAAACTAGGATGAGGCCACAGCACTCTAGCCCGGGCAACAGAGCAAGACTCTGTCTCCAAAAAAATAAAAAATAAATAAAAATTTTTTAAAAATCATAAAAAGCATTACCAATATCAGGACTTTTGTTTGGCTGGACAAAGCAGAGGACAAGGGGGCAGTCCTAGAGGTACCGCCTCACATAGGAAAAGGGACCTTAAATGGCCCCTCTCTATCTGTAAGGGAAAACTAGAGCGTAAGGGCAGACTAGAATTAAACCTACCCTTCCACTCTAATTCACAACCCACGAGACTACAGGGAAGCCTGTCTTGGTGCTAAGCAGCAAAAGAAAAGAGAAGCTATGGCAACAGCACCAGCAGTCATGTGGACTTGTAGCCAAGTACCCAGAGTCTGAGTGGGCCACGGAACCTCAAGCTGCAAACTTGAATTAAGCCGGTCTCCTACTTGTACTCATACCTGAGAGAAGCCAAAACAAATCCTCTCTGAGAGGAGGGCACCTTCATCCTAAGCTCTGGAAAACCTCGAGGAATAACTTTTCAAGGGCGATGGTCAGCACGTTGTCAAAGATACATAGAGACACGCATACAATGAAATAAGGCCCAATGATTAAGAATTAGCAGAAAGACACCCAGCCCAGGTTTCCAACTCACCAGCTCAGGGGTAGTGATCGCATCTAGTAAGCGCTGCAAAGGGAAGTTGGCAATGGGATGTGCAGCCAGGGTCTGCAGCTGGCCCTGGAAGTGATCCTCAAAGAGGCTCTGGAGCCTTGGGGGCTCCAACACCAGCAGCACCTGCTCTAGGAGTCTGGAGCTCGTCTGATCCCGCAGAAATAGCAGTAGGGGACTGAGGACAAGAAGGGAATCAGGCAGTCTTAATGTCTCTTCATCCAAAATACAGTTGCACCACATCACCTCATTCATTTCACACAACCCCACCAACCTTGGTCAATCCTGAGGCCCTGACCATACCTGCCATCTGCTGAGGAATTACGAGTACTCAGATAGTCAATCACAGCATTGCAGAGATGGGCACAAAACTGGGGCCATCTGCGGTGTAAAATCTGTAAGGCCACTTGAAGGCAGAAGCTGGAGATCTTGTCGGTGATAAACACTGTGGGGAAAGGGCCAAAATAAAGTGGCTTTTCCCAAATCCAGACAAACTGCACAACCTCAAACCTGAAGCAACAAGATATAGGAGACCATGGACACAAAGGGTCTATACATAGCGCTTTGCAACATCAAACCCAACAGGTTTGAAAAGAACAAGAATAACCTGACCTAAGGGCCTTGCTTGGTGGTAATCACCACCAGAAAAGTAGACTCTAGACCCTCCTCCTACCTCCCTCCTTACCAGCAATGTCCTTCAGAAAGCAGGAGCTCAGGTCCTGAAGGCAATTCAAGAAGGTTTCAGGGACCTCAAAATCAGTTGGTTTACATTCCCGAGCTGGGGCCCTTTGTGCTTCTGAAGAAAGATCAAGAACATGTGCAGTGGTAAGATCACAAACGGCCACCCATCAGGGAAAAGAATTCCACAGATGAACAAGGATTCAGCTTGGAGATGCAGAACAAATGTGACACAACGGAATGTCTCTTCTGGATGATTCAACTTGGACTATATTTCTGTTGTAATTTCTCTGAGAAACTTCAACCAGCTCCCCCATTGCTCATAGGAGATGGCTCAAACTCCTCAGCCAGGTATTCAAGGCATTCCAAAATCAGGCCTCATTTAAATTCTCTAAACTTATTTCCCAGAGTTTTTCAAAATGTAGATCACAGCCTATGACTGTATCATGAAATCAAATTAGTGGTCTCAGCCAGCATTTTTTTTAATGAAATAGAGCAGAATAAAGGAAAAAAAAAAATCAGAGTGGGTTGCATGTAGTAAAGGTATTGTTTCCCAAACTTTTGCTTGAGTCCAGTATGTGCATTTACACATGTGTAGGTTGAGTCATATTTTAAAAAAAACTTCTTACCATGGGTTTTGGTAAAAAAAAAAAAAAAAAGCAGCTTAAAATCCATTGTTCTCTATGACTCACCTCCTCTTCCTGCCCCTATCCTAATAGCTGTCCCCTCAACTGTAGATCCTTACCTCTGGGCCTCTGCACACACTAATCTTTGGCCTGCTAAGCCCGGTCCTTATCTTTCTGCTAATTCTTCAAGGTCAAGCTCCCCCATGAGCTTATGTCTCCTAAACTTCCTAAACTCTTGTTCACACTAGGTCCACTTCTCTCTCTTGTAATACTTACCAGATAATTGGGAGCCATGGGGCCTGGCTCTCTCAGACTCCAGGATAGTCCCTCCTAACACCTGCAGCAGAGTTCTGACCACGAAGCTGCCATGTGTGTCTCCACAGTAGAAAAGAAAATCATCACACACCTCAGCAGCTAGTCCCAGGACAAGCTCCTGCAGGGTCTCCATGGGACCATCCTTCCCATCCTCCACTTCCTCCTCTTCTGCAGGACTCCCCAGCAATCGAGGCAGCTGCAGCAAAGCACTTTGTAATACATGGACCCCACACCGGTGACAGGCCACAAAGCGCAAGTTGGAGCGCAAAGCAGCCCATACTCGACAGAACGGTTTCAAGGGACTGAACCCCAACATTTCCTGCAGCATCTCACTGCCAGTTCTATTCGTGGACAAGGCTAAGGCCTGAGCCTCCACTTCCTTCAAAATATTGTGCACCATCAGTTCTGGAAAGGTGAGGAAAGAAATATTTTAAAGAGACTGAGTAGAGAATATAGTTATATTCCATCATTTAACTAAGGAGCGGGGGCCGAGGAAGAGGACCCGGGAAATTAAACTAAGTCCCCACGCCCTGGCGAACCCCAAAAGTTTCCTTGCCTGTCCTGGATTTTATGCTCTTGGTCTAAACCCCGAAGTTCCTCCATACCTCGTTCTTCCCCAGTCGTGGGAGACTCTTTCAGCGCGGATAGCGCCCGGCGGAAATACCCCAGAGCTTCGGAACTCAGGTGAGGGTGCGAATCTAAAGACGGCTCCGAGCGCCCATCCGGAGGTTGTCGCTCGCGGCCTGGTGAGGGGCGCCCCGACCCCTTGGCCCCGCGCCCCCGTTTGCCACCAGCTGGGAACCGGCGCCGCACCTTGTGGGGAGAGCGCAGACCCAGCCCCATGTGTGCTTCGGGACCTTTCCGGCTGCAAAACCTTCCTTAGCCAAAGACCAACTCTCTACGCCGTCAGGCGTGAGCCTGGTCCCGACCAAATTCAGAAACCCTGGCGCTCTCCTGGCGCAGCCTATACGTCATAGTTCCGCGACGGCCCTTACTGAGCCGAGGTGGGTGTGTCTCCATATCGCTCCGCCCCTATTTGCGGGCCCTAAGCCCGGCCCAGGACTCCCGCCCCTCCGCCCCAGATAATCGACCCAGGTGTTATGATGCGATCCTTGAGCTTTGCTTCCACATCCTCAGTTCAACCCGCGCCAGAACCCGGACTTCCACCCCAGCCGTAATCACCTCGTCCCGTCCCTGCGGCCAGAATTAAAGTTCTCCAACTACAGGTATGGCGAGCTAGATAGCACGAGAACCCCAGAGGCAGCACAGGTGGCAGGTAAGGGGGCGAGCTCCTCCTACTTAGGTCTCAGGGTCTCGGGCTTCGCGCTCCTGCGGGACCGAAAGCCGCGCCCCTGGCTCGGCCGGACTAGGCCAGGCCGGGGCCAGAGCTCCAGGTAACTCAGGACTTTGTGTGGACGCGCCCTGAGGCTACAACGGCAGATTGCCCACCCAGCCCCACTCAGAGGGTCGCAGTAGGTTCCAGCACTGGACAGCCCCACCGGCCCCTTTAACATTCCCTGGGGCCTTGCAGAAGGGACAGTTAGCCTTGCCCTGGGGGTCGCACTCAGTTGTCCTTCCCTGAAACTTCTCTCCCTTCAAAGGATTCCGACCTGTCTTCCCCTCTTAGCCCTAGTGGGGTCCCCCCTCCACACACACTCTGCAGGATTCCCTCAGAGCAAGTCTTTGCTTCCACAGACTTTCTGCCTTTGTCTATGAGTCATGGCAACTCCCATGAAGGGCCAAGTGTGTGTGGTGACTGGTGCCTCCAGGGGTATTGGCTGTGGCATCGCCTTGCAGCTCTGCAAAGCAGGTGCCACAGTTTACATTACCGGCCGCCATCTGGACACCCTTCAGGCCACTGCTCAGGAGGTGAGTGCTTCCACCAGGACCACAACTGTAGACACCACCTGAGGGAGCCCTTTGGTTTAACCACTCCCTCTCCTAATCCTTTACCTGAAACTTTAACATACTCAACAAGGCATGAATATTTACTCAAAGTGGGATAAATAAACCCCATAAATAACAAACTTCAGGTAAGGTTGAATTTTGCCACCAAATGGAAAGACTTTGTGTTTGAGAGCTTCAGGGATTTTGGAATTGCAACTGAAGAGTTGTAGACCTGTGCTTTTCTCTATTTTAAGTAAGACTTTATTCAACTGTACAGTTGACTTCTCTACTGGATTTCAGTTAAATAATTGCCCATGATTTGCTAGGCATTGGGTAGAGCACTGGGGTTACCAAGACTGATAATTTCTGCTCTGAAAAGATAGAGTTCATCAAGAAGTCAGGTGCAGAAACCAATCATTTCAATGTAATGTGAATATGGTAAGTTATAAGAGGGAGATATGCACAGAATGCTTTAGGAGCATGGAGATGAAATGGGAGAGTGGTTTGGGAAAGCATTCTGGAGGAGGTAGTTATTGAACTGAGTCTTGAAAGGTAAGAATTAGGTAAAGGAAATTACCCTCTACTTTCAGAGTGCAATGCCTTCCACATGATAGGCCTCAGTAAATATTTAAATTATTAAATATTAACCAAATTTTTATCTTTTTTTTTGAGACAGAGTTTTGCTCTGTTGCCCTGGCTAGAGTGCTGTGGGATCAGCGTAGCTCACAGCAACCTCAAACTCCTGGGCTCAAGCAGTCCTCCTGCCTCAGCCTCCCAAGTAGCTGGGACTACAAGTGTGTGCCACCACACCCAGCTAATTTTTTCTGTTTTTAGTTGTCCAGCTAATTTCTATTTTTAGTGGAGACGGGGGTCTCACTCTTGCTCAGGCTGGTCTCGAACTCCTGACCTCAAACAATCCTCCCACCTTAGCCTCCCAGGATGCTAGGATTACAGGCATGAGCCACCATGCCCGGCATGCTTTAGATTATTAAACCTGAGATCCCAATCCACCTTGTTCTGTGGCAGGAGGGCCTTTCATTCCTGAAACTCTTCAGACACCAGAGGGCAGTATTGCCTGCCATGTTGCCTCAGTGCTAGCTTTCTGTGATTGCCTTCTCAGTTGTCAAATCCAGTTTGGTTGGGGGAGTAGTGTTATGACTCACGATTGATTGTGTGTGAGCTCTTGTCCCCTATCCCTCTCCAGGCGCAATCCCTCGGGGGCCGATGTGTGCCCGTGGTGTGCGATTCAAGCCAGGAGAGTGAAGTGCGAAGCCTGTTTGAGCAAGTGGATCGGGAACAGCAGGGTCGTCTGGATGTGCTGGTCAACAACGCTTATGCTGGAGTCCAGGTACCCTTTGAACTTTGATCCCAGCTCCACACTACTGACCTCTCACTCTGACCCGAGTCCATGTCCCCAGTCGTCCCTTCCATCAACCAGCCACTCACACCTTCCTGCCTTCAAATCACCCTATTGATCACCCTCCCTGTGCTTCCAGACAATCCTGAACACCAAGAATAAGGCATTCTGGGAAACCCCTGCCTCCATGTGGGATGATATCAACAATGTTGGACTCAGGTGGGTGCTCCTCTTGCCCCACCCTCAGAGCCAGGACTCCCATCACTCACTTAGCCAGCTCAACAGCCAGACCTTTCCCCATGTTCCCTCTCTTTCTCCCTCTGCCCCCTCATCTCTTTCTTCTCCCTTCTGTTCCATTTGTCCCACTTATCTCTGGAGAAGTTCCATCCAGGTGAGTCTGTACCTGGGAATGTCAACTTCTGCCTTGTTTCTGTCAGTAATTTTTATCTGAACAAGGCCTTGGCCTCTCTCCTGCCTTACTCTCTGCCCATCCAAAGGCAAGACCCAGAAAGGAACTTCCTCCTCTCAGTAATATACACGACCTATCATCTACATTTTCAGAAATGGTTAGAGGGAGAAATTGTTCTGTTTTGGATCAAGAGAAGTTTAATAAGAAAGAGTGAGCACCAGCCTTCCTTGGCCTCCACATCCTCACTCCAGACCCATAGGCAAGGGCACTGCCAGGTCAGAGTTTGGAGGGGAGGGATGTCTTGGGGTCACACACATATCTGGCACAGGAGTGAGATGAAACACAGCACTTAGAATTTGCCCAGCATAATGTGTACCAGTTATGTCTCTATTATCACTGGAATGATGTTATTATCCTCTCAAGTAATTAAACTACACTTGACAGATGTGATCAGTCGTCACCTGTGGAAGCTACCAAGAGAGTATTTGCAAATCTGTGACAAGAGCTCATAAGAACACCCACCACTCTGATTTTGGTACTCTGGGGGCAATCCCAAGGAAGCAGGATTAGACTGCAACTGTGATTTCCAAAGTGGAAGAAAGATTGTGAGGACACAGGGGCGTGGTCAGCCCAATGGCAAGAAAGGAAAACCCTAAGAGCTGAAATTGGCCATTGCCCTCCAGAGGGAATGGAAAAATTGACGTGTAAAACATTATTTCTATGTAAACTAATCCATACATTCAGTCAATTTGAATTATAGCTCAATAAGACTCTTTCGAGGAATTGACAACCTAAAGCTCAATGAGAATAAATGTGTGAGAACAGCTGGGAAAATTCTGAAAACAGAAGATTAATGTCTTGTGGGTGAGGGGAATTTGCTTCCCCAATATGTGACATTGCCCATATTAAAATGTATGATTATATAATAGTTAAAAGAAAGCAGTACAGGTATAAAGATAGATGATAAGTCAATGAAATAAAATTTACCTAGAAATGATATATTTTTTTTTTTTTTGAGACAGAGTCTAGCTCTGTTGCCCGGGCTAGAGTGCCATGGCATCAGCCTAGCTCACAGCAACCTCAGACTCCTGGTCTCAAGTGATCCTTCTGCCTCAGCCTCCTGAGTAGCTGGGACTACAGGCATGCGCCACCATGCCTGGCTAATTTTTTCTATATATTTTTAGTTGTCCAATTAATTTCTTTCTATTTTTTTAGTAGAAACAGGGTCTCGCTCTTGCTCAGGCTGGTCCTGAACTCCTGACCTTGAGCGATCCACCCACCTCAGCCTCCCAGAGAGCTAGGATTACAGGTGTGAGCCACCGCGCCCGGCCTTATTTTTTTTTGTTGTCCAGATCATTTCTTTCTATTTTTTAGTAGAGACGGGGTCTCGCTCTTGCTCAGGCTGGTCCTGAACTCCTGACCTTGAGCGATCCACCCACCTCAGCCTCCCAGAGTGCTAGGATTACAAGCGTGAGCCACCGCGCCTGGCCAGAAATGATATTTTATATGTCAATTTTTCTTTAAACAATTTTGTCTGTACTTGTTCTTTTATAGTTTTTCCATGTAGACCCTGTACATTTCTTAAGTTTTTTCCCCCTGAATTATTTTGTTTGTAATTGTTATTTTAACAGAGTTATTTTCTTCCATTATGTCTTCTGAAGTTGACTGTTTCTCATCTGTTGGTGTTAATGGGACTGGTTTTCCTCTCAGAATGTGGCCTCAGGCCCTCGGACTACCCAGGTCTGCGTCAGCCCCAGGCAGCCTTGCCCCAGCTGACCACAGCCACAGGAGGGCAGAGGAGGCTGCCAGAGGCTGCCAGGCCAGTGTTAACACAGCTCATTCCTTCTTCTCTGCCCCACCTTCTAGAGGCCACTACTTGTGCTCAGTGTACGGGGCACGGCTGATGGTACCAGCTGGCCGGGGGCTCATTGTGGTCATCTCCTCCCCTGGGGGCCTGCAGTATATGTTCAACGTCCCCTATGGCGTGGGCAAAGCTGCGGTAAGGACCCAGTGGCATAGGAGCTGGGGCGGTATAAAGCAGTGACGGTACCATTCCCCAGCAGTCAGGATGGGAAGCCTGGCTGCTCTCACCTCCCCCTCTGCCTCATCAAGAGACAGTTCCTTTGCTCAGGCTCCTTTGGTCAGTAGAACAGGCATTGCACTGGGGAAGGTGGACAATTGAGACCTCAGGGCTCCTGGGAAGGGCAGGGGGATGGGGCAACCCTGGTGGAAGCCGGGAGGGAAGGTGACAGGGCCACATGCCCTGGCTCTCACCCTACCTTCCATCTCTCCACAGTGCGACAGGCTGGCTGCTGACTGTGCCCACGAGCTGCGGCGCCATGGGGTCAGCTACGTGTCTCTGTGGCCAGGGTTGGTGCAGACAGAACTGCTGAAGGAGCATATGGCAAAGGAGGAGGCCTCACAGGACCCGCTGGTTAAGCAGGTTGGCAAGGGGAGGGCGAGGAAAGCAGAGAATGCAGGGGAATCTGCCTCTCCGTCCTCAAGGACAACACAATAACAAGAGTAAATACTCCCACTCACCAGGTGCTCATTGTGGCAGACGCAAGGCTGAGCATGGTACACACATTATTTTCTTTAATCCTGCAAGGGAGATAATGTCTCCATTTTACAGATGGCAAAACTGAAGCCCAGAGAGGTTAAGAAACTTGTTCAAGGTCACATATGTCATAAGTGGAAAGGACATGCACACACGCCAGATCCCACACACTTGACCCCTGCACTGCACTAGCCTGGAAGGTCCAGGCAGTAGCTGGCATGGCACTACCAGATCCTTCCACGGGAAAGGCAGCGGGTCCTGGTGCCAGGGTACAGGGCTTGCCAGGATGTGAGGAGGAGCAGCCCTGGTGCCTTCCAGAACATTGGGTCCTGCAAGCCTGGCACGAGGTCTTTGGCTTCTCTTTCTCCTGGAACGGAAGTTGAAAGGGGGAGAAGGGATTTGCACAGGGATTTGGGATTTGGAAATTAACCCTCCACTTCTCTGCCCTGTGTTTCAGTTCAAGCCATACTTCTCATCTGCAGAAACCACAGAAATGAGTGGCAAATGTGTGGTGGCCTTGGCAACAGGTGAAAAGGGTGGGGGCAGCTGGTAACAAGAAAGGGCATAGAGGACCTACAGGGCAGTGGCCCCCAGTGCCGGGGTCTGGTTCGGGAGGCAGTTGAGGAATACACCCTTAATTTCCACTGGCTTTCAGGGGCCCAAAGGGTCAGGATTCCCAGTTTGAGGTTTGGGAGCCTTAGGAACTGGCTCCTGGGAGGTGTGGCCAAGAGCCAGAGAGCCAAGAACCTTCCTAGCAATGGAAAGAAACAGTTCTCCAGGGCTCCTGAGTCTGTCACAGTGGTGCCCTGTCCAGTTAGGCCCAAACTGTGTCACTACACACTCCCGTGCCTGCCAGCTCCAGCGCTCTGTGTGCCCACAGACCCTGACATCCTGAGCCTGAGTGGTAAGGTGCTGCCATCCTGTGACCTTGCTCGACGCTACGGCCTTCGGGATGTGGACGGTAACAGTTCTGTCCCTACAGCCAGCCTTGACTGCTCTTCCTTCTGTTCCCTGTGCACTCCTTCTCCCTCCATCTCTTAGCCAATGTTGGGGTGTCCGAGGAATGGAAAATGAGGGTCTAATCCTCCTCTTCCTATTGTCCCCAGGCCGCCCTGTCCAAGACTATTTGTCTTTGAGCTCCATCGTCTCGAATGTCTCCGGCCTGGGCTGGCTGTCCTCCTACTTACCCAGCTTCCTCCGTGTGCCCAAGTGGATTATCGCCCTCTACACTAGCAAGTTCTAACCTTCCTGGCAGGTGTCACAATTATGCTTCTCTCCTCATTTGGGCTGTGGTGGTTGGGCCTATCTCTGTGGAATACAGCAGCCTTTCTCGCCTATCCATACCCTTGACATGAAGAGCAGACCTCTGCCTTGTGTCCGTGGTGAGTTCTGGGGGCCCTCATATGTCCTTCTTTGTGCCTTGGTTCTCCTCATCCCTACATTTTACTTTTTGTCTCACTATTGAAAAATGCTTTGGGAGCTAATAAAGGTCTCATTTCTACTTCAGTGTGTTTTTTTTGTGGGTTTGGTTTTGTTTTGTTTCTGAGACAGAGTCTTGCTCTGTCACCCAGGCTGGAGTGCAGTGGCATCATCATAGCTCTCTGCAACCTCAGCTCCTGGACTCAAGCAATCCTCCTGCCTCAGCACCCTCAGTAGCTGGGATAACAGGCATGGGCCGCCATGCCCGACTAATTTTTTTTTTTTTTTGTAGAGATGGGGTTTCTCTCTTGCTCAGGCTGCTCTTGAACTCCTGACCTCAAGCGATCCTCCCACCTCGGCCTCCCAAAGTGCTAGGATTACAGGCATGAGCCACCGCACCCAGCCTTCAGTGTTTTTGAGAGCTGATTTTGTGCTTAGCAAAGTGTTAAATACTTGGAGAAAGACTCAAAGATGTACAAATGTATAGGTTCTCAAGGGGCTCTGCCCCAGGATAAGGCCCCTTTCCTCCAGACCTGTTCCTGCTCTTCCCTGCAAGGCCTGTTTCTCTGGCCACAGCTGGGGAGCAGTGTTGCTTCTCCACCAGGAGCAGGCACGCCCAGTCTCACACTGCTTCCCCACCCCCTCATTCCACCATCTCTTCAGGGTTGCCTACTGCCTTCCAGCCGGGCCTCATCTCTGAATGAGGACCAATCCAGCAAGGGCAGATTCCTTGTTTATGATTTTTTGGAATTTGGGGAGAAGCTACTGCCTGAATCCAAGTGAGTGACAGAGGAATAGCTATGGCACCAACACACTGTCATCCTGCCTCTCACGATGGTACCATCTGAATTGCTTTCTGCGGGACTCATTGCACAAGCCCTTTAGGGCTGCCTTGCTGTTCAGAAGAAACAGTGTCCTTTACAACACACCACCCTGCTTCCCTCTGACAAGGTCTCAGTAATCTGAGAAACATAAGCAGCAGAACACAGAGCTCCGAGGGAAGGAAACATGGACACTTTTGATTGAATATAGAAGAGATTCAGGATCTGAGAAGGCTAATACTAGATTCATAAGACTTTGAGGAATCAATTATTCAAAAAGCATTTTTATTTTACACCTACTATCTGCCCAGCACCATGCTGGGCACCAGGGGAAACCAGTTAAACTTGGTGAGATGAGTGTCCTGAGAATACAGGAGGAGGGAAGTAGCACCATTGGAGAACTGAGGAAAGGATATTGACCAGAGATTTAAAGGAGGGGGTGGGGGGCTGGGGGAGGTTTAATTTGGGGCAAAAAAAGAAAAAACAGGTACTAAGACACAAAAGTGGCAGAATAGGTAGAAGTTTGGTGTGACTTAAATGTACATTTGATATGGGATAGGTTTCCAGAGAGAAAGGAGTAAAGATTTATGATTGAGATTGAAATTGTGGGCAATAGGTTTCCCCTGGAGGATTCATCTTAGACGCTGAGTGATTTATTAAGTGCTCCCAGGAAAGACCAGTAAGAGAGGGGGGTGAAGCCAAGCAAGAGCACCCTCTCAGCTATGGAGTGTGAGGCCTCAGAGAGTCCCAGCCTGGGGCAAGGGAGCCAGGCTTTCATTGCCACCACTGCTACCACCACGGCATGGTGCTCAGTGACCATGGAGCTGTCAGTGGTTACTGCCACCCAGGGCAAAGCAGCTCCAGGAGGCCAAGGGCAGGCCTCCCAAAGTGCTGCAGGTGTCAGCCTTGAAAGCACAAAGGAGGGTGCCATGCACAAAAATGGAAAAAGGAGGTCTGAGGGGGATCTGGGCAGAGCACTATTGCTGTCAGCTGCCAGAGGATTAAGCAGAGGCGTAGAATGATCAGATGTGTATTTTAGGAAGCTCGCTGGGGCTGAGGTGTGGGAAGGATGGACCAGAGGGAGACACCAGAGGAGCAGCCAGGAGGCTGGCTCAGCTTTAGTGTCCCTGGGGATGTGATGGCAGTGGAGCTATGGGCCAGGGAGAAAGGCAGAGTCAACAGACTAGGGACCCGGGGCTAGCGCAGGACTGCTGCGGTGTTACTCCTGGCACAGGGCACCCTGAAACCAGCAGCAGGTGCAGGGGAAGAAAAAATGTGGCTGAGCAGCGGAAGAGAAGCCAGCTTGCCCAAGGTTAGCCCTGGTGGGACACTGACAGCCCAGCTGAGATGCAGCCCACCCCCACTGGAAAAAAATCAAGGTGCTTGGCCGGTCCCTGGAAGATGGTTAATCCCCCAAAGGAGCTCAGGGAGAGATGGGAAAGAGATTTTTGATTTGCATTTTTAATTTGTATCTTTAGGAGGTAACACATTCATATGGCTCAGAATCCAAAAGGTATAGAAGGATGTACAGTGACAAGTGTCCCTCCCATCACTGCCCACTAATGCCCCATCCCCAACCCAGAGACAGCCAATGCTACCATATTGCTGGGTAGCCACAGAGAGCCCATGCCTGTACAAGCAAACACGTAAGCATGTTCAGAGAGAAGAGATTTGACTGCGTGCAAATCTAGGCCTCTTTTTCTCCAGCTGAGGGCTTATAATTTCTATGTCTGAGGCCTGTTCTGGCCCTGTGTCCCATGTTTCTAAGCTAGGCAGCGGCCCTGGCCCCCAGTCCTGGCCTCCTCAGTTGGTCCATCCTCCCATCAAGCTCTCCCTCCTGGCCCTTGCGCCACGCCTTCTTGGGCTTCCCAACCTTCCACTCCTCCTCCATCCCCTTGGCCCACTTGTCTGCCCTTCCCCACTGGCCCCTTCACTCGAATCCTCTTTCTAAGCCTCCACCTCCCAGCCAGCTGGCGTTTGCTGCCGCCTCCTCTGTGCCCAGCCCTGGGCAGGGCGGGCAGATGGGCACAGGCAAGCCTAAGAAGACAAAGGCCCAGCTCTCCAAGTGCTTCTAGTTATTATCCTGAAACAATTAGCCAACCATGGCGAGACCCAGGGTGGGGACTCAAAGGAGCGGGAGGGGTCACCACAGCCAGGCTCCTCCCCAGCCCAGACACAACCCTTGTTCCTTTCGGGTCTCACCCTCCTGGGGGTGTTGCAACATTCTTATCCCTGCCGTTCTCTGTCGAATCTCACCTCTGTCTCTGCTCCTGCCTCAGGCAACCAAGGGCATCCTCGCCCGTGTCTGTCTGTACTGACTCGCTGCCTGACACCCCCTCGGCCAGCCCCCTGACACGTACATGCTAAGGTGCTCCTGCCAGGGGTCATCCCCAGAGTTTCGTGGCCTCTGGGTTGACAAGGCTGCCCCGCCCAGCCCCATGTTGAGCGGCAGAGGGCCAGGATTTGCCCAGGTCAGAGCAGGGCTGGTGTCAAAGATGCACAGCCAAATGTTAGCTAAAGCAGTGAGGACAGAGTTTATTCAGTTACTACTGACAGTAGGGGGAAAGCTGGGCTCCATCTGATTCATGCAGAGGGGATTAGGCCTTTTAAAGAGAGAAGGAGGGAGTTGAGCTGGGGCTGAGTAGAGTCGGAGCAGACGGGATGAGGCAGCTGTGTGCTCCGGCAGGTGTCTAAGTTAGGTTTCTGCCCTCCCGCAGAGACTGGGAGATAGATAACTACATTTCAAAGGAGAACTCTCGGGTCCCAAGAGAGATACTACTGAGTTGCAAGAGAAACATATGTACAACTGTCAGCCCCTTTCAGTAAGTGCTTTAGAAAAAGGAGGTCAGGGGCCTGTCTTCGGGTGTTAGCTAGAACAAATAATAAGTTTTCCTAGCAGCATTGAGCTTTCTCAAGCAGGCACTTTAAGAGGGGCTGGGGTCATCCTAGAGACATAGCCTTATGCGGCTAGAAGCCGTGCTAGAGTTTGGTCAAAGCTTTGAGGTTGGGACAGAGTTGTCACGTGCCAAAAGTTCTAAACTGCTCAGTGCGATGCCACTAGCCGTGGCCCTCCACTCCAGGGCGCCGGGAAACCAAGCAGTGGGCCAGCCGTGGAGATGAACAGTCTCCCGGCCAGGGCATAGGCACAGGCTCATGAAGGGATCACTGGCATGCCTGGACTTGAATGCCAGGAGTGGAGAGGACGTGGAAGCTGCCTGTGCTTAACTTGACAACAAGGAATCTGGAGGCGATGGGGATCCATCCTTGGCCCTTGGAAATGCGGGAGCCCACAAGGAATGCTGGGAAAGAGAAAGAGGGAAGAAGTGCGGACAGTTTTGTGCAATTTCTATAAGCAAGTACCAACACATATGCGCCTACTGGAGAGGAGGTCCTGGCTATCCCCTTGTTGGAGAGCCGGCTCCAGAAGCAACAAGCAAATCCAGAACAGATACAACCTGAGCATCCCTAGAGCAGCTCGTGCAAGAAGTAGCAAAGGTGACTTGGCTCTGGCCCTTCCCTGCCACTTTAATGCAGCTTAGCAGCCAGACTCCCCTGTTACTGTAGGGGCTGAGAGAATTTGGGTTTCTTGGGCGCCTGCAATGCCCTGAACACTGCCTAGGACTTCCTTACTCTTTCCATAGCCATATGAGGTAAATGCACTCTTACAGCTGAGGAAACTGAGGCTCAGAAAAATCGAGTAACTTGTCCAGGATTACAGGGCTTTACAGCAAAAAAGTCTGGATTCAACCAAATCTGTACAACTCTGGAGTGCAAGTTCTTTCTCCTGCATCACGCTGCATCTCCTGCCTTTTTTTGTTTGTTTGTTCGTTTCTGGCTTTGAAGTTCTTTTATTTCTGGCAGAGGGAGGGCTGGGGACTGGGCAGAATGACGAAAGCATTTCCAAGTTCACTCAGCCTTAAGGACCTCCTGGCCAAGTTCAGTCTTGCCCTTCTCCAAACTCGACCACACTTCCTTTCCTGCACCTTTGCTTGAGCTGTACTGATCTTTGGACTACCACGTGCTCCTCTCCCACCCAGCTCCTGACCCCATTTCTCCTTGCCAGGCCCATCTCAACCTCCTAGAAGCTTCTCCTGGTTTCTTCTGCCCTTGCTCTTGCCCTGTTCCAGGGAACCTCCTCCTATGACGTTCACTTGGCTCTTAACTAGTATTAGACTCATAGATGACATCATCTACTTACTGGATGAGGGTGACACACCCCCCCATCCCCCGCAAAGCGGGGAGCTGGGTCTTGGACCTTTCATCCCC